TGAAAGTAAAAAAATCTAATACGAAGAATAGATATTAATCAAGTATTGCATATTACTAGAAAAGGCTTTGACAATATAACTTCAAACATATTACTTCTCTTATTATGTTGCACTATGACAATTAATATGCTTAAAAAAATAATAGATAAAAAAGAAAGGAAAAAAGAATAAATGACAAAAAGTGAAACTGTGCAATTTGAACTAAAAAATGAGAAAGCTCAGCCTGTTATATTTAATTTCATGGTAGTTGACTAAATTTTAATACAAATTATGACTGAGAAGAAAATTAAATTTGACAAATAAATTGCTTATACTAAAGTAACAATTACAATACAATCGAAAATTTGATTTAAAATACTTCTAATTCATAAGAAATATTGAAAATTATATAAATACTATTTGGGAAAGTAGTTATCAACAATTTTGTAATAATGAGATTAATTTTTGCAGTAATAAGACACAAGATTAAAATTTTTCTTTATATAGTTAAAAATCATATTAATTATAACGTTCGAATCATGTAAACAATAATTAACTTTAAAATAAAACATTTGCATATGTATGAATATAGAAGTGAGGTTAGAAGAGGTTAGTTGCATTTTACTGTACCTCCACAAATATACACCATAGCTTGTTTCGGAGTTGATTCTGATTTACTAGATTCCATTTTATACAAATTTACCAACTATGGTCACCGATGCTTTCAATGTTATGAAAAGAAAGATTTATTTACTGTCAAAATAGCGTGCACATTTGACACTCCTCTTGCACGCACTGCGAAGTTATATACATATATATACAGAGAACCAAAATAATTTGAAAAGAAACTAGTCAAGTGAATATCTCGTAATATTAATAATGAAATACACATACTTTTGATGTAATGTATAAAAAATACGTAGCTTTTAAAGATTTAAATATACATTAATCATAATTTATTATACATATGTGTCCTGTTCTAGAATTTAGAGTACATATTATAAGTAATAAGTACAGGATGTTTGACACAAACAGAAAAAATTTTAAATTATTTTCATACAAGAATGTGCGCAAGTAAGTCACTCGGAGGCTAATAACAAGACATCATTCTAGAGGAATACGTATCTAATACCTAAATACAAATTATGTAAGTAAATCAGCAAGTAATCAGTAAATTTAATATACAATATTAAAAAGTTAAATCGATTCGTATAAATGTTCAAAATGTAAATTGCGTGTCCAGTTGTGAGTTGACATATTCAAGCGCATATCCAAGTTCTGCTACCACAATTTTAAAAGTGCTTCTTCCCTCTACTACTTTCTATACATGCGAAGTAAGATTTTCAGCAATAATGAGGATTACACGTAAATTTCGAATTGAACTTCAATTATCAGACATTTTGTATCCAGAAATAACACATGACAATATGAATAATAAAAACGTTATCTACCAAAAATTGAATACAAGTCCTTTCTTCATTCTATTATCTATCCAATTAATTTTCTATTCAGCCTGGTTTTATTTTAAAATGTGAATTACAAACGGGTAGATTGTGAGAAATTGTCATTTTCGCAAGTCCTGGCTGATAAAAGTTGTTAAACCCTAATGTACGATAATGATAAAGTCATTAATGTTGTAGTTATATGGCCGATCGTGAAATCTGTGCATACTTTTTCATTGAATTGTTGTAAGTTTCCGGTTAATACCGGATACATTCTTTCTCTAAAATTATTTAGTAATATGTAGTATTGTGTAATGTACTCACAGAATAAACAAAATAAAAATTTTAAAGGATTAGTTTCAATGTTTTTTGCTTACAATGGATTCTACCAAGAAATTTGAGCTAATTTGAAAGCATTAATTATTACAATATATTGTTACTGTAAACATATAAATGATGACAGTTTTAAACTTTAATAAGAAATCTTACTCTTTTCGAATTTCTTAAAGATTTTAATTGTTCACAACTATATTCTCCCGATAATTATTTACAACACTGATTCCTCATCGATTTGGATGACCTTGAACTATGTTGTTAAGGTTTTCATTCTGATTAAGTTTTTTCTATACATGTTGCCGCGCTAGATTAGTATGCCTCTCTCCCCCCGCCCCGGAAGAACTAGCCGCATTAATACCACTCTTTATTATCTAAATGAAGTTCAAGTACATACACATGTTGTAAGGAACACAACTTCAATAAATGAAAGCGAACACAACAATTTTTAGCGCAATGCGAGACTTTAATGTTTCATAACTTTTTAACCAATACTCACTGTCAAAACATTTAAAGTCCTGGGTGTACAAAACAATGATTTTAACAGTATGTGTCAAGATCAAGGTCATACAAGGGTTACTTTTTTTTTGTAAAAAAGAACGAAAACTCCTTGTTCCAGGACATATTTTTGCGAATATCTGAAAAACTAAGGCCAAGCAGCGGTACCACGGAAACCACGTAAAAGAAAAAGTTGTTCAAAATGATGACCTTGACAACATAGTTCAAGGTCATACACATCGGCGAGGAAACAATTTTATAAATAATTATCTATATTTTTTAATATTGACAAACAAATCGCGTTATGTAACAGTTAAAAAAAATTTTAAAGAAATCGATTGTGTGTACAAGTTTACAAATGATTTTATTATATTGTAGATCAGGATGCGTCCGAATATTTTTCGAAGCACAGTTATATTCAGTAAACCTTTGTGATTGTAATTCAGAAAAACGTCCTGCATACGTCCGCCTTTTTGTTTTAGAACATTTTGTTCACTGGAATGCATCCTAAATCAGACGACTGTGTGCCGTATCATGCATTGTTTCGAAAAGGTGTCTTCTAAGGTCATTAAATACAATATTAGGGGTAGAGACATTCCCCCGCCTACGCTATTGCATTATAATTCGAAAAAATTATTTCAGTCTAAATCTGTGGAATACTGAAATTTTTATTTGAATACTTCTAGGTGAATATTTGCGATGATATGAAGTGCGAAGAACTGAAAGAGATTCTTTTATGGAATTACTAAAAGATATAAAATATACAGCGTGTAACAAAATTTTTGCACACAAATGATAGAGCGTGTACAACTCACTAAACTGAGTGAAACAACCCCTTTGAACATGGGTCCAAAAGTCAATAGTTTCCGAGATAAACATAGGTTTAGTTTAAAAAAAATGTATCGGAACTGAATCAAGAACGGTATTTAACCGTTACGTGATCGGAACTGAATCAAGGAAGGTATTTAACCGTTACGTGATCTCAAAACATCCTGGTAAGGATATATTACGACTCTTACAATATCATCTTACAATATTGATCATTTATTCATTTATTATACACTATATAATTTATTATTATTATTATTATTATTATTATTATTATTATTATTATTATTATTGTTATATATCATTACATCATTCTATCATACTTTGTTGGAAACGTTCGATACATACTCCTCACAATTATATTACTTCATAAATCATTTTCTTATACTTTTGACAAATCGCGGGATATTTTTAAGCATCAACATATTTGGCAAATGTTAAATATTCTACATAAACATAAAATTTTTTATATGTGTATAAATAATTAACAATATGTAATATTTATTTACTTGTTCTATACTTTATAATTGGGTATCATTTTGTATTATTATATATATTGTTATGTTGCCACAGCACATGGGAGGAATATCCATGAAAAAGTGGGTGGGAAGTTATCCGGATCCAGAGGAAAACCAAAGTTGCTTAAGTTTTATGTCTTATTAAGTTAGACGATAGCGAGCCCAAGGTGGAAAAACATGGTACAGGTTTAAATTTGATGTTGACGTGGTTAGGATAATTCTGCTCTTCTTCCCAGCTGATGGGATTTAGGAAAATTCGGGAAAGGGAGAATTTGGTAGTAGGGAGGGGGAAACATTTGGGAATTAATGATTTATGTTTGGGAATGGAGTGAAGTAACCAACGTTTAATTGAATAAACTATAGTAATTCAGTTTGGTTGGGGGTCATCGGTGACCCCCATGGCATGCAACGTGTTAAAGAAGATTGAACTCGAATAGAGGAAACCAACTTACAATATATTCTGAATTAAAAGTTATATAGTTACAATTGTTACGTGTATTGTGTCGCAGGCTCTAAGTCGCATTCTCTGACGCACTGAGCAATGCGGAGGTAGTTCCAATAGTAATTGTACGTACTGGTTAAATTACACTTGAAAGAGACTATGAATTCGATCTCACAATATATCTTTCGTTGCGACTTGACTGGAAATGGACGCGATGATGGACAAGTTAGTGGCGTTTACATACCCGAAAAACGGACTAAATAACACTACGGTTTTTTGAATATACAAACGGACTCCCCTGAAGCAGTATGCAGCTTCCAGAAGAAGAAACAGAATCACGCACGAGAACTCCGTACGTAACACACTATTATAGATCTTGTTAATTCTTAGTATCATGTTTATATATTATATATGTACCATATGCTACCGTAATAATAATTAAAAATCCGTGGTCAATCATTTTTTATTTAAATGGAAAAATTTTTATGTAACATTGATGTTACACCATGCAGAAAAATGTATTGTAATGTTAAGCCATTACACACAGTATACAATTCTATCATTATTGTAACTAATAATGATGTTACATAGGGATTATATTACGTAGTGAGTATCTATAATAATTATTATATAATAGGAAATGTGATGGAGAGAGAAAGAAATGTTGAAGTTGTTATTCGATTGAATAAAACTAGTAAGTATTTTATTTCCACCTGTAGGGTACCATATACGTAGCCGTCATCAATTTTTCAAAGAAAAAAAAATAACTAAGAAAAAGAAGAGACACTTATCCGTTGTAATCGGTAGTTCTAGCAAAAATACATATTGCATTAAGAAATGAGACACAATGCACTAGAAGAGGCTTTAGGTCGGATACACACTATCGGCCAGGTCTCTATCCGATTTCGGTCCGCCCTCAGTTCATAGAAAGTAAAAGACAAGAAAAAAAGTTTGAGCTGACCAAAAGCGGACCGATGACTGTATGTCAGGCCTTATCTTTGTACTTAACATGTTTTCATTAGGCGACAACTTATAGGAAATTATTACAATCGATGGTATTACCGACTCTTTCTACTTACGTTGGACGGTTGTTAAACATTTAACATTTAACATTTAACATTTAACATTTAACATTTAACATTTAACATTTAACGTTTAACATTTAAACATTTCTTGTACGACTTTCTTCTAATTTTAACAAGAAACGAGCTTATCTCAGTTACTAGATACTTGGGGCATTTCCTACTTTTACTGAACTGTGAAAGGGTTAATGTGGTACATAAATATTAAATTAATCAAATAAGAAACGGAAAATATGAAGCAATGTTTTTTTTTGTTTTCATGTAAATATTATCTATATACATTTCTGCACACAGAATATTTCTATAGTTGTCTAGTCAATACATTAAATATGCAATAGTAAGATATGCAAGTATAGGTAAGTATGAGTTAAAAATTTCTATTTCACTCCTATCTAAATACGTAGGTATCCACCTACATATTACAATGCACGCACGTTGAAATATATAATTTTATTAAAAACATAGAACTTAAATTTCCTGGTTTTAACATTTAAAAAACCTTTCGCTACCTGCAAAAAGCAACACTCTAAGATTTCGTTTACGTTGTTTTGAATCAATGTTTACCGAATAGATTGACACAATGTCTCTGAAACTATATGACCGATTTTGCTAAAATTTAAACGACGCACTCTACATAGAGCGCTCTAAAATGTAACGTGGGAACTAAAGTGGATTAAAGTTGACTTTTTTGGTTTTTCTCGGATGAAAAACGAGTGTTTTTGTTTCTAATTTTTGCCACCCTTTAAAAATGTTTTAATTCTGATGTTCCAGTTGCAACTAACAGTAGCAGTCAGCAATCAATGTTCAAAAAAATGAAATTTAGAATCAAGCGAATTCTGGAATATTTTTGACTTAAAAGAATTTAAATAAAGAACTGAAAATTACGTTTATATACACACCATAAAATTGGATTTTTCATTCACAAAATACCTGCAAAAAAGTTTCAAAATTTCCTGCACTTTTTAGACACCTCAAAGTAGTGTAATCCCTAAAGCAAGTGTATCTTGTCTAGCTTCAATAAAACCCCCTCTACGGTTCATAAACTCCCCTCACCGCATTTTTACGTTTCGACGAATTATTTCGACGGTTTAAATCTCCAATGAATGTAAACGGACGACCTGATTAGTAATCTGTTTCGCCGTTGCCCAGAGGAAGAAGTTTAGTGATATCGAGTCCAGTGAGCGCGGGAGGTCACGCGTGTGAAGCAAGTTTGCGTCCTGTCCACCGTATTGCGAACATTCTATTCGCAAATCCCTCAAGTAAGTAAATGGAGTAATAGTACAGCTACACATAATTCTCTTAAGGCGTTTATGACCTCGCGGACATTTTCGGTTTCCGCGATATAGAATTTTCTACAATATATAAACACATTATTGATAATTTATCCTTCAATTATCTAGCAATTTCTTCCGAAGTATGCATATAATGAAAATATAAGTATATTCAAAAGTGTATTACAAATTTATTAGATATCATATTACTAATCTGGGAAAGAAAAAACGCCGATGGACGTCTACGGTCATAAACGTGTAAAAATGTGGGATCATTGAAAGTGCAGGTATCTAACTTACGGTACGCTTCTCACGCCTGTGTCGATTACCGGCGAGCTAAAAGTGTAGCAAGAGCAAAGGGAAGTGTCCACTTATGATGCTCGAGTTTTGTTTTTTGTTATCTGCCGAATCACGTAGCGGAGAATACAAACGAGAAAGAATGTGACAAAATGAGATGTAAATAGTATGTCACGACCATCGCAGCAAGAAAGTAATCGCGAAATTCATTCTAACTTTAAAAAAGGATTCTAATTTTTTATTGTTGCATCGTATTGTACTCATTGAAGGGGTAAGTACGTAGTCTGAAATGAACAGAAAAAATACCGGATATCGTGTTCGTTTACTCTCTCATGAGAACTGCAACAGCAATATCCAAACTATTCATTTCCGATCAATGGTTTCTTTCAGACTGTTTACCTCCGTAATGAGTAAAAAAGGATACAGCAAATACAACGAATTTTAAACCTTTTTTCAAAGTTAGGATGAATGTTGCGAGTACTTGCCTATATCCATTTCCATGAAGTGAAAGATATAGACTTACACTGCGGTGGCTGGGCATAACTGTTTGAAATACCCTGTACTTTTGTTCTAGAAGTTCTTTGCTAACAAGTTTTAAAACAGCGGAGATATTCTAAGGTATTTTAATGATCCCCGTCCACGTGTAAAAGGTTTTTGCTGCAATCTTCCAATTGTTGCATATGAAATTTTGTAGAATCTAGATCCTGATATTTTTTGTCGATTTAGAATGTTAGCGACAAAAAATTACGTTTACCTGCAAATAATACACGTTTCAATAAACGTGGTCATCATTGCAATTTCTATACCATCCATTAGCAACACTTTATTCGAATTGCACAATTATCTGGATATAATGCTTGAACGTATTCTACGTGGTTGTAAATCTTCTTCGCGAATTCGTCAAAGTGTTAAATGTTTAATTCTCACTCGATGAATTAAGAGTGTTTTGTTTTCAACAAATGCGTTTTATCGACACACTTTTCTTATTGCCTAGAGACGTGTGACAATCTGCGTGCAGTGGAGCACTTGATTCTAAAAGCTAGTCACAACTATTATAGTGTTACGAAAGGCCGGGCAGAGGGTTTATACCCTGGTAATGTATCAGTTTATTAGTAAGGTGCGCGGATAAATCCAATGGCAAATTAGGGAGCCACTAAGTGGTAGTGATCTTTTGTTTTGGAGTAAGTGTTATCGCGAACGAACCTGATATGAAATCAGGAAGTCGCTAGGATTGTTAATAGGCTTTGTAAGACTATGTAGTTGTAATCATTCGATACAATCCAAGCGGTAAAATAGTATTGTATCTGTGTGGGAACGTTCAATCGCCAAATTAGGATTTTGGACCTTTGGATAATTATGGATCTTAGAGAACCACGACGTTTTCAATATAACTCAATTATATTCTGAATAATTGTGATTACAAGAGTGTTTAGTGTCGCGATGAGTTTAAATCATTATAAAGTTATTACTTAAGTTATTCGGTGTTGACGCACTGGCAATACGGGGTCTGAAGACGATCGAAAAGAATTGCCAAATAGAACTTTACCGGACTCACGGATTCTATAAGGTTACCTGGATTTGAAAGCAAACTTTAACTGATCTTACTGGAATCGATTTGACCGATTTTGTAACTGACATAGACCGACGTAACCAAAGACAGTAAAAATTAGTGGGTTTGTATACCCTCTATTTCAAAGGGTGCAATTGTTTAGATGAACGGTTAAGAGGTTATCCATAAGTCGGTTCCTACCAGGGACCGAAGAGTCGTACGAAAAATACTCTCCGTACGTAACAATAGCGTTATGTAATAGTCTAAAATGGTCATGTAGCATTTCGATAGATTTGTCTGGATATTATTTTTTTATTAAAAGAATTATTTTTCGGAACTTTACATATTGTAATTTATAGATCACTGAATACCATTTATCTTTTCTTTGAAAATTTCTTTTATCGTGTTACTGGAAACCCCTGAAAAATCCCAAGTAAAATGAGGTATTTGCATCAGGAAGCTATAAACCCCCACCTCCCAATTAAACTGTATTTTCCACGTAATGAAATTATTAACAATAAGATGGTTCTCTGTATTACTAAATCATCTTGCGAAAGCAGTCGCAATCCATCCACGACAATATTGCAGTATGGGATGTCATAATGTGTGTAGCGGTTTAGTCGCGTGCACAGATAACAATAAGATTGCTGACATATTACCTCTCATACTAAACAAGTTCCAACATCTTGATTTTCTTGAATATAACTGTAAGAGTGTAGGAATGTTTTCCAACTGTCGTACATTTGACGTATGCACATACAGTGCACCTCTCACGTCCTGAGTCAATCTCTCAAGCTAAAAAGTCACAGAGGCAAGGGGACTTTCCCACTCAGGATGCTCGTGTCAATAACTATAAAACAACAGTTGCTGTTATTGGCTGAACCGCGTGACGAACAAAGCAGACGGAACAGAATGAGATGGAGTGAGATATAACGAACATTGACGTCGAATCTCGTTTCTACGTAGCGGCGGCTTTTTATGTTTACCAAATCCTGGGGAAGTGGAGGCTCGGCTACTATGTTTCCGGGAAGAACCGAGGTGGAGCGTGTGGCTGTTCTAATTGCCGCTTTGCTCTCTTAACTGCGTAATCGCGACTCCAAACGAAAGCGGCGAATTGTATGGCAGAGTGGGTCTGGCATGTAATAAGTCCTGAATTGAAAATCATATCAATTGACTAAGGGCCTATGCACACGAGTGGCGCGATCCCGCCGCGAATTCGCGGCAGTGTCGCTGGTGATTTTACGTACATGTACCACATGTACAGAGCAAATTGCATCTTACACAATATACACAATTAAAAAAAAAGAAATACATATATTGATCCCCCTTGTTATGATCCGTTGCCGTTTTGTCAATCGCGCGGTATTGTATCGCTCATCTGTATAAACCCTAATCGTTGTATCAGAAAATTCAGTCAACAGTAGATATTAGAAAACATTGGAAACGTTTTCATTCGATTTCAAGCATTTCTACGACTTGAAAAACGATTTCGTGCTTACTTATGTCCAAGAGTAAAAAAGGTACGTCGCGTATTTTTTCTTATTCCTTAGAAATTACTTAACACCGAATTAAGAAATTGCATTAAGATTGTATGTTTCTTTGGCATTATGTACATACTTTAATTTATTTCTGGATGATAATTTCTTTTCAATGTGTACAATTCGCTAAACTGAGTGAAACAACCCCTGTGAACGTAGGTTCAAAACTCAATAGTTTCCAGGATAAACATAGATTTATTTTAAAAAAAATTTATGGGCACTGAATCAAGAACACCGAATTATCTTGAAAAGTATCAGCGATACGACATTCAGATGTTTCCAAACCATAGACATGAAATTTTTCATGTAAGCCGTTATCGAGATATCAGCATTCAGCGTTGCCGGTTCGTCAGTAGTGATAGTGTCCCACGAACTGTCTGACTTAACCGATGGACAGAAGAGCAACGGATGCTCGGTTGAGCAACCGTGACGCGTCAGTTTCTCTGTATTGACTCAACCTTTAAATGCGCTGGAGCGAGTGAAACGCCTTATAGACTCCTACAAGAATACATGGAAGAGTAAAGAATTGTAATGAATGCGATGACTGTATTTTCAGTTGCGAGCCCACGACCCGATGGATAAACGATGCCATTCACATTTTCAGACGGAAACCCATCGTGTAACAAAGGATATTGCGGTCCTTTACTCTTCCACAACAGTCGCACTGTCCGCCGGTCACCATCACTACTGACGAATCGGCAATGTTGGATGCTGATGTCTTGATAACGACTTAAGTGAAACATTTTATTTCTATGGTTTAGAAACGTCTGAATGTCGATGTAGCGGTACGTGGCTCGCAGCGTTGGTAGGAAATAGCATTGACCGCTTACAGACGTTTAGGTATAGGCAATTAAGCCTACCCTAAAGTCTGTAAGTCGGCGAAAATATTTTACACTTTTTACACGTGCGTAGCTGAATAGGCTACCCTACCATAAACGCTGCCAGCCATGTCCCGTTAAGGTTTCTTCGGCCGCACGGTCAGCGCGGCTCGGAAAAAACATTACAAATTAGAAATGCACAATTTTTCCCCTACCAAAAATCGAGGCGACGTTGGAGAAGGGAACTAGCTCCACCCTCGAAGTTTCTAAGGGGTAACGCCTTTCCGAAGACTAGGATAAATAAGGCGGAAAGGCGCGAGGAAGCACATTACATTACATTACATTACCCGTTCTGCCTCCGAACACTCGCCTACGTAAATAAATAACTTGTAAACATATTTGTCGCGAGCATTTAATAATAACACACTACATTCCGACAATAATAAATTTTTTTTTCATTTCTTATAAAAACTAGATTACTGGAATACGTTTATTTATCGTCTTGGTAACTGAACATTTAATTAATTATTCTATTTTGTTCATAACTACAAGTAAACAATTTTACAATTATTCCCCTCTTTGTTTAACTATATTTACATTTCTACCAATCGTTGTTCTAACAAGACAGAAATGTCAAACCGGAACTTCGCGAGTCACCGAGACTATTTCCCTTCACGGCTTGGTGGGCAAGTGTTACTCTCTCCATGCTTACTTGTGTAGTTCCCACTGCAAATACACATGTCTAGAAGTCTCCTACTTATACATATTGTACATATTGTTAACTGAAAGTAGTACTCGGGCAAGTTCTGAAGTAAAGATAGTAGGAAACCGCTGATCGGGAGTCATGAAGTTGAGGGGAGGCAGTTTGAGAGCCCCATTCTAAGCCTAAGTTGTTAATACTAAGTTTACTTTGTTAATGGTAACAATAATTTATATAAAAAAAAAATATTCTAATACCTCAAAACCTTCTCCCAATAACCCAAAAAAGTTTAATCTCACATTATTAATGTTCAACCTGAACAAATTTATAAATGCCTAAGTATTTATAATTACCTGAATAGCTCTATGTAGTGTTCAGTACATAGGTAGGTAAAAATAAGTACTAAAAGTAACTAAATTGGTGCCCACGGGCACTCCAATGACACTTCCTTCACCAAAAGTTACCCTCTCCATACCTACTTTGACCTGTTGTATTGAACACTACCTATATACTATTCACCATTCATGTTAGTACCGTCGGCCAGAAGCTTAAAAATGCACAGGGGCAAGGAGACTCTTACACTCATGGCGTTCGGCTGCTGACGCATGGGCCATTATTGGCGCACACCGAGGTCCGAGTATTGTGAGTGAACATTTCCTCTTGCTCCTGTGCACTTTTAACCCTGTGGCCGATGGTACTGACGTGAAATGCGAATAGTAGAACTGCTTACATAACAATCTCAGGCAGCTCCTTGACTAGAGGAAAACTCTGGAGTGCTCGCAAATTCCCAATTCAACATCCCTATTCTAAATCATGAAATTGCATGATGTTCAATTCAATGAATAAAGAATTTTTAATATCGGCAACACTGTACTGATTACCATTTTAAACATCAGGGTTTTTATTGTAATTCTTATTAGCCATAATGCTGCAGTAGTGCCATGCATTACCAATCTAAGTCGATATGGCAGAACGTGATACGAAAATGGTAATAGAGCTTTAGAAATCCAGTGACGTGAAAAAAAAGTTTATATTGGATGTTAGATATACGCATTTGCCTTATTTATAATATTACGTTTCAAATATGTTTCGCTTTCAAACGTTAACAATTTTTTTACTTTCGCATGCAGTTTTTTCCCTTTCTCATTCAATGATCTAAAGAAATTAGTACAGATATTTATTACAAACAAGCGGCAGCACGATCTCATAATTGCACCATGGAGTTTTCTTATAATGATGAAATTTCTTTCAGAAACTATATTCATAAACCCAGACTGGATAACCTTGAGAATAATTTAGAGTTAGTGTTGTTGCAATTTTATAGACAATATTTTCAATTTTAATAATTTTAAGAATTGACAACTTCAATGCAGACGCATACAATCATAAAATTGTGCAGCTTTACGCATGCGTAGTTAATGTTACACAATTTTGGAGTTACATTTATGTTTATATTTTTATTTTAAAACCTTTGCAAACATTTCGGTGATTTTAATATAAATTTTATACATATTGATAACAAGTTTTATACTCAGTGCGTACTTTAATTTTCAGATATTTTCCACTACGCATAGACCAATAGAAAGAGATTACTAACGGAAAATCAAATATGACGAAGTTTTTGAAGAACAAACAAAAGATTAATGTCTTTATGAATGACATCATAGTCTAAAAACACTTCATCATTATCTGTGTATAATTAATATATACATATTACTGATACGATAACAGGTGTTTACATAATTATTTCACATGTTTTATCTTTTTACAGAAGTTTAACCTCTTGTGCCATAATTTCTTTCATAATTGTGCTTGATACTACTTCATCATTAATAATTTAGTAGAAAAAGAAACAATTTGATACCTACTCTATGTCCACGTTTACTCCACAGGTTAAAGATTGATAATATGCAAGTAAAATTTCATTTATGTCAAGAATAAATAAATAATAGTTAAATTTGTTGAATTCGGTTTAAAATTTTCATCACGAGTCTGATTCGATATTATAGGATAAGTGGTTAAAGGTGCGCCGAAATGTCCTTTTTGCTGAATTACACCACCAAACGGTGAGAATTTGTAAGGATGGCCTAAGTAGGAAATGTAGCGGTGTCTAAATCGGTGCCTGTGGGCACTCTAGTGTCGTTCCCCTCTCTATATGTATTTTTACCTGTTGTATTAAACACTACATAGAACTACTCACATATAGTCTCGAGCAGCTTCTAAAGTAAAGATAGTGGAGAAACGCTGTTTTTTAGTTACTAACGTGAGGGGAGTAAGTTAGACATCTCTGAAATAAGATAAGTACTTAGGTATAACCTACATATGATGGTTTAGGTTGGATGCGCAAGGCAACACGTGGATTGGTTACAACAGAAGTGTCTACTATTCGCCTTTCACGTTAGTTCCGTCGGCTTTAGTCTGGAAATGCATAGTGACAAGGGAAGTCAACCACACCTCCCCCTGACCCTGTGCATTTTTAAGCCGCTGGCCGATATAACTAACGCGAGAAACGAATAGTAACTTGCTCCCCTGACGCTAGTAATTTGAAAATAGCGTTCCCCCACTACCTGTGTACTCTAGAAGCTACCCGAGACTGTGTATGTGAGCAGTTCTATGTAGTATTCAATCAATCAAATAAAACAGATATGGAGAGGGTAACTTTTAGTGAGGGGAGTGTTACTAGAATGTTCGTGGGCACCTAATTAGCAGCCTTGGATTATAAGATCTTTATTATACGTCTTGCTGTAGCGTGTGTACTCGGGCAACTGTTTATTACCCTTTTAGCGCCAAGAATGCCTTGAATTTTATCCCTAGGGAATCCTCAACTATCGAAAGCTTGACCGTTGGGAATTGTGTCGTCAACTGCGCCACCTTGTGTAAGGAAGTTACACTACCTTGCTCCCCACAAATTGAAATGAGACGTTATAGAACTTGTAAAAAGTCATTTGTGTTAACGTACGTAGGTGCCTTTACATCTATTGCACACGATTGTTCTTTTGTTTAACACAATGGCGAGGCTAGCGGCAATAAAAGATTCATTAGAGAAAGCCTTATATGATGAAAACAAAATTTGGGTAAAATATTTTGCCATGTTGGAAAAGAAAACAGGAGTCAACAGGACTTACATATTTTTAGGTATGCTCGTGTAATTATTCATAAGTAATCGAATCACTTTTTGCGTTTTTTTTAATACAAATAATAAGTATATGAATTGATTTATATTAGTTTTATGTAACAAAAATAGATTGTGTCATAGATAAAAAGATTGTCTTTAGAAGTATGATAATTCTTCCTTAATAATGCTTAGCTATAAATAACTCATTGTCGGATCTGAACATATTTTATTTGGAATAAAATAAAAAATAACAATTAGAATTAACAAATTATTTCAATTATTTTATTAGTTTTTCTTCAGAAATAACTAACAGAAGGTAACTTTAATGCGTGTGAAATATAAATAATTTTTTTAGTTAATTAAGTCAGTAGAATATACGGCCTATGTAACATGAAAAATTGTGGTAAGATTATCTATCATTTTATATGAATGAATTTACTCCTATTCAACCATAAGAAATTTTTTTATTTGAGTTTACATATTTTTATTCATAAACATTTTGTTGTAAATGCTTTATGAGGAAAACATTCATCTTATGGTAAATAATAACTATTTATCTAGAAGTACTTTCTTTGAACAAATTATACAGACAGTATTTCCATTATATATTATTACATTGTATTGATTTGTACTATTTTGCTCATTACATTCCAATGCCTAGTACCAAGTGGTATAGCATGACCAAGCTTGTGGACTTTGAACATAAATTGTCATATAAAAAGGACAGTTAAATTGATTTAGTACACTACCATATTTACTACTAATTATTCAAACTTTCCTATATGATGATAGATGTAAGTGTTAGCACAAAATATGATTGTGCACAAAACATGTATAACTATAAAAATATAATTGCTTATGTTGCTTTTTTTTGTATAAATCTTTGTTCACTTTGGAAATTTTTGTTCAAAATATAGAATATGTAAAAATTTTTTTTATAGTGTTGTATTTCATCAGACATCAGATATTTTATAACAGAGTAACGGACTTAACAGAATTTTGTAGATCTCTGTGTAATAGTGTATCGTTTGCATTCACAATGCAATTAGACAATTGTCCAAAGACAGTTGGGTGAAATCCGTTTATTCTTGAGAATTGAATCTGAAAGCAAAATTTGTAAAAAAATTAATAATTGGGTTGAGTGAATGGGGTCAGAGGTCAGAGGAGATGAAGGTTTAAGGGATATCAGTAAGATTTTAACTGTTACTATAGAAAATTACTCAGGATTACGCTGGTTATGGCGATTCAATGTATTGGTATACAACAATAGCAACCTTATACCTAAATCAAAGTATTAAAATGCATTTTAAAATTTTTATTTTCATAGTTTATTATGTAGAAATACTGTCTTTTATTTATTAGAAGAAATAAGAAAAATTTTAATAGTCATTTTAGTTGATTTTATTATATATATATTAAAATATTGAAGAGGATTAAAGAAGTGACACACAATATCTATCAAACAGTGATTTAGGTTTATTTAACTCTTTACATTAATAAATGACCTCACATTACAGCATTATCTTAGAAGGAACTAGAGTAATTGGTCCTTTTTTCAATGAAATTATTTATGATTAACACAATTTAATGTTTATAATCATTCTTATGTTTGAACATATTTTATTGCATTTTGTAGGATTTTAATTCATTTGCAATATTTTATAATAAATCATAGCAAATTATGTGTTTTAATATCTTTCATATAATATAAGTGTTTTTTCTTTTTTAGGATCAGTTGTAATTTTAGGAATTTATTTAGTTTTTGGAGTAGGACAACAATTGATATGTAATATTTTTGGATTTTTATATCCTGCATATTGTTCTATGAAAGCTTTGGAAAGTCCAAAGAAAGAAGATGACACAAAATGGTTAACATATTGGGTCGTTTTTGCAGTCTTCACAATTGTTGAATTTTTCTCTGATTATATTTTATGCTGGTTTCCAGTTTATTGGGTCTTCAAGGTAAAGTTATTGTAAATGTAATATTAATGAAACTATTATATATTTCTGGATATTTGTTACAGTGCTTATTTTATATGTGGTTGATGGTACCTGTGGAAAATAATGGTTCATTGATCTTATATCGGGTTATTATCAGACCTACATTTTTACGATATCATAATAAAGTTGATCACTTTATTTCAAATGCACAGGATGCAGGTAATTTCTCATCATTAATAAAATACGATTGTTACTTATCTACTCAAATGCTATTAAATCTATGTTCATTTTAGCAATTAAAGCTGCAGCGGCTGTTCTGTCGACAGATAAACGGGATTAATAAAATTTCTTAAAATATTGTAATTATATTGAGATATTGTTGTTTAATTATCTAGAAAAACCATTATTTGAATAAAAATATTTCTATTGCACATTTTTGAACTTGTTTATTACGTGTTTACTTTTTATTTCACCAAAATTATTATTTGATTGCTTATAATTATTCGAGGGTTTCGGATGCGAGCCATGTCCAATAGAAGATTTTCTCAACGTATCGTCATCATTGCATCTGGCTTAATGAGAAAGTCAAAGACGCATTGATAATGGCGTGCATCTTGCAAGATGCTCAATAGATAGTTGTACCTGTGTTATGTTTTGGATCAGTGATTAATAATTAACTATTTTTTAATTGTTCAGCTGGACAATTATGTTAAAAGTCTTGTAAGATGCACACTATCATCAGAGTATCTTTGACTCCTTGATGAAGCCAGGTGCGATGATGATGAAACGTTGGAAATATACTTCTATTGGGCACAGCCTGAACTTTCATCTTCTACTTTCTATTACCACATATTCTTGCGAAATAATTTTTATGTGTGTAATAATCTTTCTATTTTTATTGGGATAAGAAAATGTCTTCAATTATTATGTATTGGTTTACATGTTGATTGATCGTTTTGGTTATAGGAGTTAATGGATATTTCAGTATAGTAATCGTTCAGATTACATAGCTCAGATTCTTCAGAATTTGATATTGCATATTTACACTGTTTGACTATAAAGAACTATAGACGTTTCCTTTCTGTGCATATGGTATGTGCATACCAGGGAAAGAACAAATGAAGTTGTGAACGAAACTGCAATAGAGACTTTTTTTTCATTCGGGATTGCATTATCGGTTTTATCGTTGCTGGCTTTATTGGTATTACTGGTGTTTTAAAATATTTTACACGACAGTATCATCACTGACCAGACACAGGATAGACTAGATATTAGAGTGGATTTATTTTTCGATCATTATATTTTTTTTAGACATCTAATAGAATTGTGACGTTGGATGAAAAAATAATCTGTGCAAAAATTCAAATTAGTCGGAGAACGGAAAATGGAATCGCATAGTGTTTCAAGATTTTTTATTTTTGTATTTTGTTTTTCTTTATTAGATTATATCGTTAGCATACATAATTATTACATTGTTGAATTTGTCTTTTTACACTGTACGATACTGTAGAAACGAAGTGGAAACAAAATCGTCATAAAAGAAAAATCGTAACATTTAAATCTCAAATACACATGCACTGCACTCTTTACCTACATAAAACAATTTACTTCGGAAAGTCTGTTTGTAAATGTTATCGACATTCTTGCTCTTCTTATACCGAGTCAGAGTTTCAAATTTTGATATTTTTATACCTTCTACCTTTTACAGTTCCAAAAAATCTCTGACCCGTCTGATAGCAACAATAATTTTATGAAGCTATTGAATACTTTTTCTATTATTTAAAATTTCATATTTCCTTAACTACTACCTAGGATTACAATTTTTTACAGAATGTATTTTCAGAAAAAATAGTGAAATCTACTGGACTAAATGTATTATTGTATAAAATATTTAAAGATGTTTGACAAAAAATTAATGAACTAAATTTTGTACTAAAAATTGAAATAGAATATGTTTGACGAAAAATTCAAAATGTAGTCAATGAAATTATTCAATTTGCAATAGACACATTACAAAAAGGACAACAACCAGGAGCAGGTTATAGATCAAAGAATGTAAGGTTTTATAGCTTAGGAGATTTTTATCACTCTCGGTGATTGTCGAAAGCAATATATTACTTCAACATATATATTTATTTAAAAATCAGTTTCCATTATCTATTAACGAAAAGAATGGTATTCGCGACATTTGTATTTTTTCAAGTATTTTCATAAGAACGTAGATTTGAGCACCATTGACAGTGGAAACTCCACACCAAGATTTAGAATCTTTTAAACTACGAGAATCGACATATAGATGAAAGAATAAATGAAATAGCTATAAAAATACTTTATAATCACCTATATTTATCTCCAGAAATAGCAGCACTGTCATTTTTTTGTAAAGAAATAGGAAAAGACATAAAATTATGAATGGACCATGCAGTTAATAATGAAAATATAGATAAACCTCATAAAAAATTAAAAATGACTCTTCGTGATGTAGGAAACTATGTACATTCATAAAGAAATCGAACGTTTTACTTCATTAAATTTCAAAAGATTTTCAAGAGATTCGCAATACTTATTGGATTCTCCGAAAAAGGTCCTGACTTGTAGGCAATTATTTTAAAGACGCCTAGGAATATTGTAGTGAAAATTGCAGGTAAGGGATTAAGGTGTTGGAAATTAATATATTGTTAAACATTTTTCATTAGCTTTGACTTCCAGATGTGTGAGCAAAGCGTCTCGACACTTAACTTTATAACTGGTAAGTATATACCAGGTAATCGATGACGCTGAAATAAAAGTCCAAGCCACCCTCTGGTACCCAAATGTTTGATTCTCAGTATGAATGGGACTAGTTTTTCACGGGGAGAGGGTGCAAGTTTATACTTTATCATCGCCAAAAATAATTTCAGTTCAAATCTATGGAATACTCAAATATTTATATTACATTTATATTTGAATACTTATATACTTATACCACGTGAATATTTGTGACAATATGAAATAAAAAGAACTGGAATAGATCCTTATATGCAATTACTAGAAGATATAAAATCTGTATATATGTCGAATCATTGAAGAAAAAATATTGCGTACTATTGTAATTTCATGACGTAATATCGGTATCGTAGAGAGTGATAGTACTATGGTAAAGCGCTTTTTGGCAAAAAAATTTAATTGAACTTTAGAATTGCCAAAAATCTGTTGCGTACATATTTTTCCCATGCAAAGTGAAATAATCCGTAGAATGTCAGACTAATCAAAACATAAAAGTTTTAGAAATACGGGAAGTGATATAAAAAGATATAACACTTTTTTGCAAATGTATTAACTTTCGTATCGCCAAAAATTCCTCTCGCAAACATTGTTTTTTGTAAATTGAATCTGTTTGCAAAATTTCAGCTCCATCGGATTTGTTAGATTTTCATAGATATCTCTTCCGCACAATACATGGAATTCTGCCTATACAAATATGACTAAAAACAAGAGCATTCGCAGTAGAAACCGTCGTTTCCAACTGCCAATTAGCTGTAAGTTGATGACATAACAGCGACATCAACTTTGTTATTTATAGTGTGTCCCACATAAAATCGGTTTCTTAGAATCTATAGAAATGAGTTTCGTGTAAAGACCGGCATTAGTGAGACTAATTTTTACAGGGGTAGGGGGCGTTCTGCCGCTCCTCGCTAACGATTTTATATCATAATTGTCAAAAATCCTTCTAATGTGAATCCGGCAATGATTTACGAAAACTAAAAGAGTTTGAGATGTTGGTAAATTATTTTTTCCACTTTTCAAATGAAATAGACTTTATCAAAATACATAGCACTTTTAGACGATTATGCTTGTGACTGTCTCTCAGCAGCGCTTATTTATATATACATACGTATGTATAGAATGCAATGCAGTAGTAGCAACAGTTCTTCGCGATTATCTCGGAAACTAAAAGAGATCAATATTTTTATCATAGGAGAAAGTTATTCCAAATACCGATTTTTACAACGTATTCAGAAATGATCAAAATCGGCGATGCAGTGGTCTTTTTGTAATTTCACCTGATAACCGACTTTTTGTGGGGCACCGTATGTATAGTGATGCCGATATCACTATTCACTCAACAACTCACGGACGATGGCTATTCAGCGGTGATCGGTGCATTAGTCACGTCCCTAGAGGCACAATTCAATACGTTATGTCGAAAGTTTTCTATTAATATCTTGGAAACTAATAAATATCCGAAGTTAAAATTTTATATTTAAGGCCCATCCTTCATACCCTTCCAACTCGATGGAAATTTAATCCGATCGACCTCCGGTGCCATTCGAACGAATACCCCATCGTCCTGTATCAAATTCCGTCATATTTTGTCATTTTGCACCATAGCAGAAGGTAGTCATTGCATTCGCTGTTCCAATTAATCAATATTTGTGTAATAAGAAAGGACGCTGGATATCGCCGCCCTTTACTCTCCCATGAAAACTTCAACAGTAATTTATAAGGAAACTATTCATTTTCGATCCATTGTCCTTTTCAAACTACTTACCTTCGCAAAGAGTAAACAGTAATAGCAATGCAGCAATAAAATATTTTAATCCCCCTTTTCAAAATCAGAATGACTTTTATCGTCACTTGCTTACAGCCTGTGTCATCAAATCGAATACACGTATAAAATCGCGTTGTAATGGTCGTGATACCTATAGTTTCTACGACATGTGAAGATTACGTCTATATTATATTATTTTCATAATTATCAGCTTTGTTTTATGTTACTGTTTTTTTATATTAATAATCTATATTTATTTACAAATACGATTCATGAATCGTGACGTTAGCCGTATTTTTTTATTTTAATTATTATTTTACAGTACATACGTGTATTTATTTATTAGAATTGATTTATTATTTTTATTGAAGATAATCTGAGTTATCTTTCAACCTTACAGATATGATTTCTACGTAGTACAATTCTAGAAACATAGTATAAAATATAACATATCTGTTCCTAGAAAATAAGACAATACATTTGTGCTAACATTGATATTTTCACGTATCTGTAGAATTCTCCAAATCCTTCTGAACTTGAAACATTTCCATTATTATTAAAACTTTATAAAAGTGTTTTTACAAAAAGTTCATACTTTTGACATAACCATCGAATAGTAATCAGAAAGTACATAGTTGCCCGATATTGTCCATGACAATAATTGTACGTCAACTAATTCTGGTGATATTCGTTAATTGATATCTTGTTTCACAGAACAATGAAAATATTTCAAAGAAAAATTAAATAGTAAGTCAACTTCGACAGAAATTGAAGGAAAAGCACGTCAAAAAAAGCATTAATGAAAAGGTAAGGACCATAATATGTATAAAACAATACTTGCGTAGATATGCAACTATCTAACATCGAAGTTCTTTTTCTTTTTAATTTATTGAAATATTTACAA